TCTTAACCATACATCACACTATGTGTTGCTTCATAAAATTCACTTTTACATGATTATCTACATCAGAATTGATTCAATTAATTCAATTTTCTGGATTCACTTGACATCCAGAACCATAAACAGTTCCTATGGGTTGAAAACACAGATTAATCTAAGATGTAATTGGCTAATTAGCTATGTTCTGAGAATACAGCCTATGCATTAATACTGCACTTCTTCTGGTCAATACTTTGTGCCTGTGTAATGCAAGCAATCACTGTTCAGGTATGCAACAAATGGCTTCTGAGGTAACTCTGTAGGTTAAGATTTCCTTCCTTGCAAGTGGGAAGACCGCTGGTAATGGCATACGAAACTATAATTAACACGTGCAGCTGCATTCCTGCATCTTGCTCATCTTTCTCCATGTCTGACAGAGAAGCATATCTCTCTCTCACCACCTCCTGCCATTCTTGCCTGAGCAACTTTCACCTGATAGCATCCCATAATTAAGCCTCCTCCTTGACATTGGGGTAAGGAAGTCTCTTTGGAAATGTGAGGTACCAATTAGGGGTTAGGCTAGGGCAGGGTTAAGAAACAGGGGAAATATGGAGATCCAGTTGGCTTCTGAGACTCTACAATGTTTCCACACATAGCTTTGAAATTAGACTGTGTGTGAGAAGTTGTGTATGGTTATAGCAGCAATAGCAACAGCAGCATGCTTTATGTCTCCCGATTGTTCTCTTGCCAGAAGGTTTTGAAAAAAGCTTTTGCTGTTTCTAACACAGGAATCTGAAAGATTTGGCTGGACTGATGAATTATCAAACACTTCAAGGAACATAACACTAAGAAAGGATGGCAAGATCTTTCCATCATTTGCACATTTGCAAAAGAGGCATTTCCTGTAACAGTTCTTCTAAAATCATGGTAGATGCAGAGCTTGCTTGTACCAACATCTGCCTTTGGAGAGACATAGTTGATAACACTTTGTTAGCAACACCCACATCTCATCTCAAGGTCCAAGTTTCAACCACACATACACAAACACTCCCTGAGAGGAGATGCAAGTCTGATATAAGGAAACCTGAAAGTTGTTGTAAATCACTACCCTCTCAACAGGAAGCCTTATGTTTCTTGCATACCAAGGATGTTTGCAGGTTACTCTGATTACCAAATTTGGTGCTTAGAGATACTCTTCCTCTTCCCTGCAACCTTTCCAAAGCTGGTGGCAATCAGTTGTGATGAGTTTCCAAGTTGCAAAATTCCCAATTATCTGGACAACACTAGGATGAGATGCTGCTTTGCTGTTGTTCTATATAAGCTATAGTATATTCAATATTAGTCTTTCAGTCTTTATGATAGAAGCAGATTAAATCAGGAAGTCAACAACTTCTACCTATCATTTCCAGCCATAGCCTTTTTCTGTTACAGGTCAAGGATGTTAACATTAGATTACAACAGGAGTATGGCAACAGAAGTCACTTTAACTATATTTTGAACATGATTTTTGAGATTTTGAGAAATGGAGACTTTTAACCAAGGAAGATTACAACTTCTGAACCAAAGAAGATTACAAGTCCAGAAAAACTAAATGACAGTTGTTTCAGACTTTAAATATATTACAAGTCACAAAAGTGGGTTAAAATGGAACATGCATACATTACATAGCAAATGGTTTAGCTTAACGAGTCTTGTGAACATATCCAATCTCTCTTTATTCCCCTTTCTAATAGCAATAATACAATTCTCTACATAAATTCTGTAGGAAGCTTTCCAAGTAGAAATTTTTCCATAACTGCCATAGCTAAATTACACCCCCGCCCCCAATTTTCCATTGTTATTAGTCACTATTTTTCAGATCCTGTATCTATTACAACTCTGGGAGAATGAATAGCTTGTTGTGTTTCTTTTTTAATTCCCTTTAAAACATTTTTTTGCAATTGGAGAACTGTTTCAAAACATAGTTATTAGGGGATTTTGAATATGTGGTCTTAAATCTTGAGAGAGAAGTTCAGAAGTAATTACTGATGAGACAACATTTTAAAAGGGCTTTAGTTTTAAACATTTTTATTTGAACTTTCACTGAAGTTCAGAGCATGATAGATTGGATTTTAGAAATTTATTGAATATATTGGATTTTCCAGCATTTGAGTCAGGTTTAACCATCATGAAAATTCAGCACTTCTGGTTTTACTAATATGTTCACTATGTTTTCATGAGTATGAAAACATCCACCTGGACTGCATTGTTTCCAATATGAGTGAATGTTCCTCCCTTCAAAAACAAAACTTGCAGATGGAGGGAAGTGTTCCACCCCAGACTTCTCCCAGACATGATACTGTTCTCTAATCAATGATTGAATGTTGTTGGGTTTGGCATGATGTTTTTTATAAGGAAGGGGGGGGGGGGGGGAAACAATTCACCAATGCCTCCATTTTTAGTTTTTCTTACTACATTCCACATACAGAATTCCAGTTCTAGATAGAAATTACATCTTCTATTTTGAAGAAGCAGTTTCATTCATGAAACAGGCTGCCCTGCAGCCCCCTTCCCATCACTGCAGGACAACATGGATATAGGTGGAGATTGAAGATGGAAGGCAGTTGCTTTTGGATTGTTCCGACCTAAGAAATTAATTAAGAAAAAATACTTTGTAGTTAATTTTCCCTCCACACGGCTGAACTCAGCATTCTTTTTGCCCCATATGTTACCTGGGGCTTTTCACCGGGATTCAATAAACAGACCAGTTTTGTTTTGTTTTTTTATACCAAAGCCTATAATGCTAGGATTGAGAAGTCACTTAAGTATAGAGCAGAGCATGCTAGAGCTCATGCAGAATGTTACCAATTGCAAAATAACAGCCAGATAACTATTTGCCTCCCACATCTATTTAAAAATAAATAAAATAATTCACCCATTCACACTTGCAAATCAAAATTTTGAATTGCTAGGTATTAATAGCTAATAGCTGTGATTTAAGAAATCTGAGGTTGATGAATGTAGCTTGGCACTTTAAAAAAACAAATGTTTCCTTATATGGACAGTCTTAGATTTCAAAGCTGTTTTCCAAGATACATCTATCTCCCTACCTGCACTAGAAAGCAAGTGTAGGCAGCACTTTAGCATTGAACCGATTGCATACCAGAGACTGAACATCTGCACGGGAGAATCATGAGTCAACAAGGCTAATCCTGGGAGTGGTGCCACAGCATGCTGGATTTGGAAAGCACTTATATAAGTGTTCTGGGGCAGGATTAAACCCATTGCCCTCAATCTCTTATGATTCAGCTACTGCTTCTCATCCCACCCCTGTCATTTGAGCATTGCAAGGCAGCGTCTGGCTGGGCAATCATCTGAAATATACTTTTAAATTTTAAGGCATTTAGTTTTGAAAATTTGAGAATTCTTTTTAAAAGTATACTGCATAGTGCTAGGTACATTCTTCCTCTTCCTGAAGCATTATTCTTCATAAATTATCTCTTATTTTCATAGAATATGCTCTTTAGGCAAAACCTGCACAAAAATTCCTTTTGGTTAAAAATCAAACAGAACTGTGAACAGAAGAGTTGCTCTGGGCTGTCCTTAAATTACAAACCCGAAACAACTTCATAGCTATTAGTGTGGTGCAGTATCAGAAAGACAGGTGTAGCACAATTTCTTGAATCGTACCCTCAGGAACTGAGGTACTGTACTATCACTCATCTTTGTACATGACATCAGCTCAGTGGTTGAGAGATGCAAGCTATAACACAAAATGGTTTCAGGATGCTAATTTGGAAAAGTCAGGGAATCACTAACACAAAGGGCTTCATTTGAACTGGGGTTTTCTTAGACTTTAGAACCTGTTTTAATAATGCCACATTGCAGTCCTCCAGTAAGGAAAAAGGAATTCACACATCAAAAGAGAAAACCAAGTAGCTGTCACTTCACCATTGTATAAATCACAATTGTTTTTCCTTACAGAGCTGGAACTAGGGGTTAAATTACTAATTTTTAAATGAATGTACCAGTAGAAGCATACAAGGGCATCTCATTTTGAAAGTCGATCATCTCAACAGGTTACTTCTAGCATTTTTAAATTCTTTGAAAACAGAAGTCTTTTCCTGCACTGTTCTGTTCTCTCATGTCCACAAATGAAGCCTCTAAAAGCTATAAAAGCTATATATAATTTTGGACAGGAGAATTAAGTATTTTAAAATATATATTCATGAGTCCTTGTGGGCTTCATTCCAGCAGGAATGTAATGGGGGTATTTGAAAAAGATGTTTACTGAAAGATTTCTCCCACTCACTAACCATTTCAAAGTTAATGCCATCTTTGATATGTTAAAGCTAAAAAAAACCATATAATTTTCAGCCTACAACGTTATCCAACATATTTGGGAGGGTATCAATTTAGAAAAATCTGCTATAAACTGGGCAATAATTTCAGCTGAAGCCAAATAACAATCCAGCAAGAATTGGATTGAAGGAAAGAATTGGAGCCAGAGGTTAAACTGCTACTACAGACTGCAAAAAATGTGCAATATATGCCCGATTAATATGAAAAAGCACAAGTATGAATTCTGTATCCATCTGCAAAACAACTTGTATTTTTGATGATGTAAAACACTTAATCTAAGTAATGACTTAATGTTATCTTCACCATAAACATAAATGTTTTTGAAAAATACATCTGGAAAGTGTTGTTTCTACCAATTGAATTAGTAGAATTGCATCAAGCAATTGTGTTTGATAATTGTACTAGATGGTACATTTCTTTTGGTCTCAAAAGTGATCATGTAAAATTTTACTTGACCTGACTGGAAGCTAGAACTACTGGGAGCACAATTTTACCTAAGGACCTTGCTCCCATTGCCCTTCAGCCTAGATATGAGTTAGTTGTCTGACTGGAATGATTATATGCTTAGAAAAATATTATACTTATGTTCAGTTTTGTCTACCAAAGCAAAGGAAATTTAAAGATAAATAGAAAAAGATTTTAAAAAACTCACAGCATAAAATCACACTGAAAATAATTTATTAATCATATGCAATTGCATTTTATTCCTCTAACAATCTTTGCTTTTTAAAATTATTCTTTACTGGAACCTAGTAACCTAGGCCTTGAAAATTTCATTTGGAAGTACTGCCTCAATTCAAACTCTTGTCAAAGTATAAGCCGTGCCAAATCTAGACTTCTGCTAATTGTGCTTGGAAGTGGGAAGTATTGTCAGAAAAGAAACACCTGCTACTCATCGTCGTCTCATTTCATGAACCGCTCTGTCCCTTTACCTTTCTCTCCAGTCATACCATTCAAAGCCAATTCATCCTCTCAGGCAAAGGTATATCCAATACTTTATTTCTAAAATGAACTATGCCAAAGCTTTAGCCTATCTGCGAATAAGGCATACTCTGTTCTTAAGGAGATGAGGGAGTTAGTTGGCTGTTTTATTAAAAAAAAAAGTAGAGACTGCCATTATTAGAAAAAGTGAAGGATCCAAGAAAATATAAACAGTTTCAGCTGCCTTTTCCTCATTCTTCTTGCTCATGTAATCTGCAAATGCTGAGAAGAGTAAATGATGATATCTATAGTGCCTTGAGGTCCAGCAGGGCTTTGCTGAAAGTGAAATGCTACTCGTCTTTCCAAGAAATACCATCTGATGCTTGCTTTTTCCCAAAGAAGCTGGTAGCTCCTCCTCACTCCAGTTGCCTGATTAATATATTGAAGATGACAAAAATGCCTTGTTGAAGCCCACAAACAATTTGTTTAATAATTTAAGTTATGCTTTATGTAAAAAACAAGAGCCTTTGAAAAGAGTCAAAGGAGATATTTTTTAAAGGTAAACTTAACTATGAAGGGTTTGCTGAACTCATAGAGCACAACCCATTACTTTGAAAAAAGTTTATCCCTCCCCAGTCTAGACAGATATTCATTCTCTTTAGGGTAAGAGGAAAGTAGACATGATAAATGTTTAGATATTAAACAACCCTTTAGTCCAATAATTAAAAACCACTAAGGAAGAAACTGAAGACTTGGTCCATTAATTGCCATGAATCATGCTTGGAATGATTATTAACTTTTGTCCAGGTGGAAACATTGTTTCTCAGCACTTCTTCTTACCATTGCGAAGGAGTTTTTTGCGTTTAAGAATCATTTCATACAGTTTTTCCAGAGCTGGCTGAAGGCCTAGTCCACTAATGGCACTGCAACCCTGGATGTGGCTCAACGTTGAAGTATATAGTTCATGTAAGCCAAGGTGCTTCTCCACCTCAGCTACAGAGAGTGCATGTGCCACATCCTGTTTGTTAGCCAGCACAAGCACAGGAATTCCCTGATTGTCTGAGGAGTGTGTAATTTTGTGCAATTCAACTCGAGCCTCTTCCAAACGTTCAACCTCTGCTGAGTCGACTACAAAAACAACCCCATCTGTTCGGCGCATGTAGGATTTCCAGAGAGGACGCAGTTTTTCCTGGCCGCCCACATCCCATACTTGGAAAGTGATGATGCGAGAGGTTCCCAGTGGCACTCGGATCTTCTCCATGTTGAAGCCCTTGGTAGGTGCACTCTTGATAAACTCCTGAAACTTCAGACGGTAAAGCAGAGATGTTTTGCCAGCTGCATCTAATCCAACTACGACCACATGCAGAGCCTGCAAGTGAGGCAGGAAAGGAGGCACAGGTGCCAACTGATTCCCCATAGTCATTGAATAGACACCAAATCTTGAAAAGCACCAATTGATGATCACTGCTCACGACAGCTAAGAAATTGTGACAACAAGAGTCAGAGTTAATACTTAATTTAAACCCATGAAAGCATACAGTACATGGATCATGTCTAAAGATGTAATTTTCATCTTCATCATCCTAGCATTTGCCACATATGCAAGGTCCATTTTTTGGATACCAAGAACAAAATTGATGTAGTTTTTCTTCAGTACCTATATCATGTATGAAGATAGTCTTCAGATATCCAAAATAAATCTAAATTAATAGATTAATCTCAAATATCATAAGCCAAACTTTATATTGTCCTGACATATAATAAAGGAACCCACCTACATAATAGCTATTGGGACATTCCTTTGCAGCAGACAAGATTCTACAGATTCTGTTGCAAATTCTTGGTCTAGTCTAGACTATTCCTAAAGTAAGATCCCTCATTACATTAAATAATCTGATTATGTATGTATGTATGTATGTATGTGTGGTATTCAGCTTTGTTCGGGTATTTTCCCATGTCATTGTAGTTGTGCTTTTAAAGTTGTAGCAACATTTCTACAATGACGTGGGAAAATACCCGAACAAAGCTGAATACCATACATGTAAGTACCCGCAAAAACTTAAGAATGAATGAATATATATATATGGTGTTCGGCTTGGTTCGGGTATTTTCCCACGTCATTGTAGTTCTTTTAAAGTTGTAGCAACGTTTCAGCAGAATCTCATCTGCCATCATCAGGCTTCTGTATTGTGTCCGTCTGTGGGTCAGACTTTTACAGTGGTTTCAGATTTAAATTTGGGGCAGCCTATTGCTGTGCCAGAATGGTTTTTTCTTCATCCTGATTGGTTGGGAGTCTTGGTCTGTGTTTATTGGTCTCGGAGTTTGCTGTGTTCTGCTTGATGGG